AGGAAGGAAGGAAGGAAGGGGAGCGAGAGCAGGAAGGAAGGTGGCTGCCTTCCTCAACTCTCTCTTCTCTCTTCCCAAGAATCTCTCTTATCTGAAGGAATGCGTCTGTGTGGATGTCGTGGGTGGCGGTGAAGGAAGGAAGGAAGGAAGGAAGGGGAGCGAGAGCAGGAAGGAAGGTGGCTGCCTTCCTCAACTCTCTCTTCTCTCTTCCCAAGAATCTCTCTTATCTGAAGGAATGCGTCTGTGTGGATGTCGTGGGTGGCGGTGTGGTGAGTCTGTAATTCTTTGCATTGGGTTTAGGATTCACAGGCTTCCTTCACTTCCGGCCACCTCCAGTCCAGCGATCTGAGGTAGTCAGCCTGGGAGTCCTTCTCTGGGCCTGAGGCCTCCGAGGTCTGTGAGCTCACACAAAAAGGGCAAGCAACGAAGCTCAAGTAGATTTGTTTCAAGTGAAAGCCAGGCTTGGCAAGCTGTAATCTGGAGTGAAGAAATGGCAGGGGGAGGTATGCTTCCTCTCCTCCCTGTCAATCTGTCAGGGTGGCCACATGGAAAAGAAAGCAGGGAGCTTTTCAGCCAGCCCTGCTGTCTCGCCAACCACCACCTGCGGAAATCTTGCCTTCCTCAGGGGCTCTGAAAGGTAGAGGCGCCCATCCCTCTCGGTTCAGATGGCAAACCTATAGTCATTCTTGGGTGTAGGACCATCCTTTCCCACTGGTTTTTCACTCCCTCAGGATGGCAGACGCATGTTTAGAAAGGGAGTGCACCTCCAGGGTGGTGGTGGTGGTGCAGGGAACCTCCCATGCCAGTTCCTGTAGCCACTGGAGACTTTATTTCATGTCAAATAGCAGGGACTCCACCACCGACTGAACTTGGTGCGCTACAGAGTGGGTGCCTCTACATCTTGTAGCAGTGAGTTCCGCTAATCATGTGACAGCTGCCAGTGCTGGCTCACCTCCAGGAAAAGCCAAATGCTGCTGCTTGACCTCCTCCTTCATTCCCCCAACACACCCAGGTCATGCAAAGAATGGCTCAAGGGGTGGATCCTTGCCCACCCTGAGACTTCCTGGTGTCCGCCTGATCGCTTCATTTCACAGGAAAGGGTGGAAAGGCCTAGACAAGGTATAGACATAGAGGACATTCCCTATGATGGGGGCCAAGTGAGAGAGGAAAGACACAGGAAAGGGTGGAAAGGCCTAGACAAGTTAGGCCACTGAGGTATAGACATAGAGGACATTCCATATGATGGGGGCCAAGTGAGAGAGGAAAGGTGACACTTACATGAGCTTCCAAAATTATGGCACGTTATTAATGACATTCCCAGGGCATATGCCACCATGTTTTTGTCTTTTAAAACTTTTTATTCCTATTTTGCTTTTACTTATAATTCTTGCACAAACGAACATGGTTAACCCTTCTACAACTATGTTTAAGAGATGTACCAGATAAATTACGATTTGCTCAGACCTTTTCTAAAATGGTATTGTTATGTCTAGCATATCCTAAACGTGATTTCCCATGAATAAGTCACAGTTTAAGATCCAGGAATGGACGCCAAGTTTCCCCCCTGTTGGTAAAGCAAAATAGGGTGATCCCAGTTCCCTAGAAACATATTTGAGAGTGACTTTGGTTCAGAAAATCCTTGGACCCTTTGAATTTGCTTCAGAACTTTGGTTCTGGAATTCTTTTCTTTTCCTCTACTTTGTAAGATACTTGGAAAGAGTCTGTCAGAAATGAACTTCCCATTGGAAATATAGCACTAAACTCTATCCCCGCCCCATCCGAAAACAAACCCTGGAAGAAAATAAATCATTGCTTGAACTGAGACAAAAAAAAAAAACCTTGGAAAAGCGGGAGAAAAGTCACTGAACATGTTGGGTTAAGCCTTGCATTTTCTTGGAGGCAGGAAACACAAAAACCAACAGCTTAGAACCCAGTATTTTTGCAGGAACTTTTAAACGGCCTGAAATAATGCTAAGACAAGCATATTTATTTCAGGGTGAGCTTTTGTCAGTTGCAAATCATGTTTCCATCCTGTCCCTTTCAAGATAGACAACATTATAAAGTTCGAGGTAAAAAAAAATTATATACCTCTCTGCGGAAACTTGACATCCCACATGGCTGGGAGTTACCACAGCTTGCTGTTTCTTGGGAAATGTAAGCAAAGATCTCCAGGAGGCTACATGATGGTGGGCAGTTGGTTAAAAGAAACGGGCTGATTGTGGTGCCCTTAGGAATTAAGTCAGTGCTGGGTTTATGAGCTGCATGCAGAGAAATGGAAACAGGAGTGAAAAAGTCTATTTCCAAGGATACTCTCTGGGATGTCCAACAGACGGCAATCTAAAGTTATGAGGTTCTGGTGTGTGTGTGTGTTGTGTTTGTTTCAGTCTTGCCCTGCAGGGAGACTTTTGCAATGCTGTCTGAGACATTTTCCAGGATACACAGCCAGTGCTTCCCACTGTGAACACCAAGGCACAGGTTTGTGTGGCTGCCAGAGGTGCAAAAGTGTGTCCTGAATAAATAAGCCAATCTCTGTCTCTGTCTCTGTCTGTCTCTCTCTCTCTCTCTGTCACACACACACACACACACACACACACACACACACACACACACACACACAAGTCCTTTCCAGATGGGACACCATCCTTATTCCCAGCTGGCCTTGTCCAAGAGCTCACTCACTATGCATTTACTGCACTGACCTCCTCCTCTCCTAGCTATATAAGGTTAACAACAACAACAACAACAACAACAACAACATCCATCCTGTGTATTTATTGACTCTAGCCCTGTTCGGATGGATTCTAATTCATGGAAATGCTTCCTGGGTCTCTCAGACATTATGTGCTTTGGCAGTCCGTCCTAGTGGTGGTGCTGTGGGACCACCCTGAAGTGTCCAAGGCCAGGTAGGAAAGAGGGGATGGGACCCCTTCGCCCACACAGGCTCCCTCTGGCCCTTCCGTTGGGACATACAATGGGGAATTTGAACTCCTGCTCCAGACACTCCATTCTAGCTCATATTTAGTTGCAGTGTGTTATACAATTATATAATTAGTGTGCGTGGCTGTTGTCTCTTATATAATTACATCTTCTAGAAGGTAGTCTGTGTTATAAGGATGAACTGTCTGTCCCTGAGAGAGGATGGGGGGGGGGCAAGGGCAGCCAGCCTACCCATCTGATAAAATGTCGGCAGATTAACCCTCCCTCCCTCCCTCCCTCCCTCCTCCAATCCAGTTGCAGTCTTGGTCGGTTACAAAACGAAGGCAGGGCTGGTGCCTGAATCCAGGACAGGATCGGCTCTTCTTTAGCCTTTTATGGAGGGAATGAAATCGAGCAGGACTTCCCAGGGCAGAACCGAAGAGAAGCAGGGCCCTTGTGGCTCCACCGGGAATAAAACCACTGCCTTGTGGGGAGGAGCGTCCTGGGCAGATGATGGGGGGGTGGGGCACCCTCCAGTGCTACTCCACCCCCCTCATTTGTCCAGCGCACGTGGACCACATTCTTGCACCTCCCGTCATGATCTGGCGCCTGGAATTCGCTTGAGCAGGCAAACCTTTGGGCCCCTTGGGGAATGAATGGGGAATGAATGGAGGCACCTGCTCTCTTCTTGAGCATCCCTTTTGCGTGGTGGCAAAAAGAACATCATGCTTTGTCGTCGGAAGGGAGATGCAGAAACCGCCAGGTGTGACTAAGGGCACACCTGTCCAAAAGGCCAGCCGGTACAGCAGTGCCTGTCCAAGGACAGGGGGCGGATGAATTCAGTCGTGGGGGCGGGGAGGGCAAACTACTGGCAGTGAAGCAAGGAATGGTTTCGCCTTCTTCTGCCTCGGCAAACCCACCTCGGGAACGTTTCGGATTCTGGGACAGATACCTCGCGGGATGTTCTGCTGAAAGGCTGTTTCATGTGAAAAAAGGATGTGGCAACTGGATCTCCAAGCTGATGTCCAGTTAAAACAAACAGTGTAGCAGAAATCCACACCGTGTGTATGTGTTTGGGGGAGGCAGGTGGAAGGAGCAAGACAGAGAGAGGTGGAGAGATCGTGTCGTTACATGGAAACCATTGTGTCTCCTTGAGGCGCACTCCTGCAGGCGCCGAGCAGAGTTTATGGGCATCTGCCTGGTGTAGAATCCTGGATTCTTACAGACCAGCACACTGGATCCAGTGGCAGCAATGTGTCAAAAGATGGGGCTATGTTGAGGAGCAGGACAGGAGGAGCCGCACACGGAGCATTTCTCCACAGCAGACTGCATCCTGATTTTTTTTAAAAGAAAATTCAGATCCCGCCGGGCAGTCCGGGCTTCGGCTGGTCCCCCGCCTTCCCCCCGCAGCCCCTCAGCGCTTCTCTTGGAGAGGCTTGGTGGGGTCAGGTCTCTCTGCCCGAGTCCCTGGAGGGACGCCTCCCGGGCAATGTAGCTCTCCCTTCCGAGGACCGGTTGGGGGGCTGGCTGGGCGAGAGGCAGCCCCTGATGCGAAAGCCGGGCTTGAA